TAGAGTGGCAGGCATTACAGCAGGTGTGCTAGACGGAAAGAGAACACTCCTCAAAGAAATCCCTCCTGGCCTTTGGGTGACCTTCCACCATCAGGGGTCCACTTAGACTAGCTAAGCGTTGGCTTGGCTTCTGGAGTGTACAAACCAAAGCAAGGCTGCATGCTGAGCCAAGACCGTGCTCAGGAGAATCAGCAGGATTTTGCCCTGGTTGTGGAGGGTGATGTGGGGTTCAAGAGCACTTCTCAGGAAAGTCCAAGTGACTGATTTGCCCTATTCATGATTGTTAAGGAACACCTTCACAATGCTGGCCTGGGCTTAGGTGTGGCTCAGCGGCAGTGCTGTTGCCTAGCTGGGGAAAAAAGAAAAAGAAAAAACAGAAAGGAAAAAAGGAAAGAAAAAAGACCTGGGGGGCTGGAGAGATGACTCAGTGGTTAAGAGCACTGGCTGCTCTTACAGAGGACCTGGGTTTGATTCCCAGCACACACATGGTGGCTGACAACCATTTGTAACTCCAGTTCCAGGAGATCCAACACCCTCCTCTGACCTCCGAGGGCATTGCACGACATAGGTGCGCTTACATACATGCAGGCAATACACTCAAACACATTGAAATTAGAAAATAAAGAAAACATTAAGAAGTAAAAGAAAAAAGAAAGAAGAGACAGGGGAGATAGTTCACCAGATAAATCTCTTGCCATATGTTCTAGTCTGCCTTCAGTTGCAATGACAAAACACTCTGACCAATACCAACTTGGGGATGAAAGGGTTTATTTAGCTTACATCTCCTGTTCACAATTCATCACTGAGGGAGACCAAGGTAGGAACTCAGGGCAGGAATCTGGAGGCAGGAGCTGAAGCACAGGCTATGGAGGAGCGCTGCTTACTGGCTTGCCTCCTTGAGCCCCAGCTGGCCTTGGCCTGGAACTCACAATGTAGACCAGGCTTTGACCAGGAACTCACAGAGATCCACCTGCCTCTGCCTCCCAAGTGCTGAGATTAAAGACATGTGCCACCAGGCCCAGCTCAGCCTGCTTTCTTATACAATACAGAACAAACTGCCCAGGGGTGGCACCACCCACAGTGGGCTGGGCCCTTCCACATCACTCAGAAATCAAGAAAATACCCCACAGATATGGCCACAGGCCAGCCTATTGGAGGCAATTCCCCAGTTGAGGTTCCCTCTACCCAGGTGTGTCAGGTTGATGATTAAAGCTACCCAGCACACAATACAAACATGAGGACCAGAGTTTGGATTCCCAGCACCTACATAAAAGCCAGGCAGCCATGGAGGCCTGTCTATAATCTCAGTGCCAGGAAAGCAGAGAAAGGGATCTAGACTAATTGAATCATGTTCTGTGAAAGACCTTGCCTCCGTAAATAAAGTGGAGAGTGATCAAGGAAGACACCTGACATCTATCTCTGGCCTCTACACACATGTGCACACATGCATGAACACCCTACACATGTACATCTACATGTATGTGAAAATGCATACACACGTATACTACACACACAAAACAAAAGAAAGGAAAAGCTGAGTGTGGTGGCACACACCTTTAATCCCAGCACTTGAGAGGCAGAGGCAGGTGGATCTCTGGGAGTTCAAGGCCAGCCTGGTCTACGTAATGAGTTCCAGGACGGCTGGGGCTATGGGAAGACCCTGTCTCAAAAAAAAAAAAAAAAAAAGGAAAGAAAGGAAAAAAAAAAAAAACACTAGGGGTGTAGGTCAGTTGACAAGAGGGAGGGCTGGTCTTGAATCTACAAAGTCCTGGGTTTGATCACCAGAACCAGATAAACTGGGTGTTGTGGTGCACTCTTGTAATCCCAATATCTAGGAGGTGGAGGCAGGAGGATCACAACTTGAAAGTCATCCTCAGCTACATAGTGAGCTTGAGGTTAGCCTGGGTGCTAGTCAGCCCTAGGCTAGGAGGCTGTCCCTGCAAGCTGAGGAGGTTGGCCTGAAGCTTTTCTACAAGGTGTTCGCACTGTATTAGCACCAGGCCCCGTGCTCAGCTCCTGAAGTCACCTGAGACCCTGGTCCTTCTCTGAAATCCACCCTTACTCTTTCCACCTGTGCCTCTCCTTGCTCCACTGCCTCTGGCCAAGTACTCCCATTTCAGTGCTCTGCCAGAGGGCCAGGTGACCAAAATTTCTGTAGCTGGTTTCTTTTATTCCTACCACACAAAAATCATCTACATAGGCTCCAGGAAGAAAATTTTGTTTTGTCTTATTAGATTTATTTATTGATGGGGGTTACCCTGCTGCACATGTGGGGATCGGGGAAGTTCTCTCCTTCCACCATGTGGGTCCTAGGAATTGAACTCAAGTTGTCAGGCTTGGCAGCAAGCACCTATATCAGCTGAGCTGTCTCACCAGTCCTCGTTTTGGTTTGGTTTTGTTTTTATTTTTTGATTTATTTGTTTTTATTTTATGAGTGTTTTGTCTGTATCTGTGTAAGCGCACCAGTGTTATGCAATGCCCAAGGAGGCCAGAAGAGGGCATCAGACCCCCTGGTCCTGGAGTTAGGGAAGGTTGTTAGCCACCACAAGGGTGCTGAGAACTGAACCTGGGTCCTCTGTAAGAGCAGCCAGTGCTCTTACCCACTGAGCCATCTTTCCAGTCCACACCCCCACCCTTGTTTTGTTTGATGCTAAGAATCAAGTCCAGAGCCTTGAGCATGCTAAGCACATGCTCTAGTTTCAGCCCCAGGGAGAAAATATAAATGAGGGGCTGGCACTGCAGCTCAATTGGTAATTTGTCACGCATATACAAAGCTGTGGGTCCAATCCTCAATACTCCATAAACCAGGGATGGTAGCACACAGGCCTGTAATCTCAGCACTTGGAAGGTAGAGGCAGAAGGACCGAAGTTCAAAGTCATCTTCAGCTACATATGAAGTTCAAAGCAACTCCTGGCTATATGAAACCCTGCTTAAAAGAAAAATAGTATAAATGAGATTTCAGGTTCGTCCCCTTCAGGGTCACTTCCACTTGTAATAGAATGACACAGCTAGATCTCAAAAGCATTATGCCATAAACTAAAGACACCAAAGGTCTGACTCCACTCGTACACTAAGAACATAGACATGGTGCCTGCAGTGACAGAGCAGATAGTTGGTTGCAGGGACCCAGCGGCGTTGGGTGGGGGTGTGGAAGGTGACTAAGCAGGAGAGAGTTGTGACAGCTGCTGTGCTGTCACACTGCTTGTGGTTACTGAGGTTCCTCCCCATTGCTCACTGACAAACATTCTCCATGTTCATCCGTTCACGATGATGTGTGTTTCAGTGGTTCTTTCTATTGAGGATGGATGACATAGCAGCTGCAAGCCTTCTTGCCGATGTCCCTGCAGTGTTTACTGAACGGTGTTTCTTGGGCGCAGGATGCTGGTCACCCACAACTTCAGCTTTGCTTTCTCGGTAGTTTATCCCACCACTCCCTCCTCCTCCTCCTCCTCCTCTTCCTCCTCCAACTCTTCCTCTTCTTTCATAAAAGTTTGCACTACGTTTTACTATTTTTGTTGTGTGTGGGGATGTGTACACTGTGGAGGTCAGAGGACAACACGCAAGAGTCAGTTTTCTCCTTCTACCATGTGGGTCCTGGGGATTCAACTCAGATCATCAGGCTTGATGGCAGGCACCTTTAACCAGTGAGCCATTTTGCCGATCCCCCATCCTTCTCCCCCCTCCTCTTCCTCCTCTTTCTCTTCTGCCTCTCCTTTTCTTTTCCTTCTTTTTCCCTTCCTCCTCTCCTTGTGCCTCCTCTCCCTCCTCCTCTTCCTTCTTCGCTCCCTTCTCTTTTCCCTCCTCCTCCTCCCCCTCCCCCTCCTCCTCCTCCTCTTCTTTTTCTCCTCCCTCCTCCTCCTTCTGTTCCCCTCATTTCCTCCTGTCTTCTTCCTTCTCCTCTCTCTCCCCCTTCCTCTTTTCCTCCCACCCCCTTCTTTATGCTAGGGGTGGAACTCTCTCCTGCTAGGCAGGTACTCTACCGCTGAACTGCACCGTAGTCCTTTTCATAATCTTCGTTCCTCAGCCTGGGGATTGCAGGCTTGAGACACAGCCTAGCTTTGCTTTGCCTCTAAGCTCCAGCCACCTAGACTTCCTTTTCCTGAGCAAACCAAGTCCAGACCAGTCTCCAGTCCCTTGCCCTTCCTGTCCCCTCTACTGTACTTTGCTTGCAGCACTTTCCATGGTTGGTTTCAGGTCTCAGTCACCTTAACCAAAATGTCACTTTCCCTGACACCTTGGGCTAAATAAGACAGCCCTCTTTCCAACCACCCATGTTTCACATGGTGAAACCCCTCCCCTCACTAGTAGAAACAGCTTTTTAAAAACTTTTGTTGAGCCGGGCATGGTGGCACACGTCTTTAATCCCAGCACTTGAGATGCAGAGGCAGGCGGATCTCTGTGAGTTCAAGGCCAGCCTGGTCTACATAGTGAGTTCCAGGACAGCTGGGTCTGCAGGGATACCCTGTCTCAAAAAGACAACAAAAACAAAAACTTTTGTTGATTCATCTTTGTGTCCCCATGAGACAAGTTTTGGCAGGGCTCGGTTCATGCCCTGTTTGTGGCTAGAACTCTGAACAGTGCCTGATATAGTAGAGAAAATGTTCAAGTCTTTTACTGAGGTGGACATGAATAGTCATCCCATGTTAGAGAACAGAAATCTGAGACTCAGGGGTTAAACCACAGAGAATGGATTTGAATCTGGGCCTAACCAGCTGCGGGGCCCTGGCTTTTCCTGGGAGAGACTGGCCTCTCCAACATAAGCCATTGCCCCACTTCCCTCTTATCAGCTGGCTGGTCAATGCCACCTGTGCAGTCACAGGTGGAAGGGAACTGGAGGTTCTTCCCTCCGCTCCTGCTCCTCCATCTGCAGCAATTGGCACATGGCCTTGGGCCATGGGAGAACCCGTGTTCTACCACCTGTTATGGGAATGGGGCCTGATCTGGCCCCCTCCACCTGCCTTCTGCACTATATTAAAACCCGGGTTTCGAAACTCTTATCACCCTGAAGCTCACCATGCTCCGATTGCTGAGTCCCCTCCTGTTTGTGGCCCTTGGTAAGCCTCCAGATTGTGTCTGTGCTGCATCAGCCTAAGAGCCTTGAAATCTGACCTTCATTCTGGACCCCATGGGTGACACTTCACATCCACTTCCACAAGAGGAGTCTCAGTTTCAACTGGGACATGATTGTGGGGGCTTCAGGTTGGTTCTAGGGCAGGAGTGTGTGAACTGTGGATGAACCAGGTCAGAAAGAAGAGTGGGAGCCCAAATGGCTGTGGTGAGACTCCTTAGGGGACAACTGTCAGCCTTCTGATTTGGGGCCTGAGCTCTGTTGTTTGATGACTTGAGCTGGGATTTCCATTTCCCTCTAACACTCCAGCTCTCTCCTCATCCTCCTGCTAGCTCTGTAGCCCTTGGTCCAGTCTTTTCCTTGTCTCTCTGACATGCTACATTCCAGCTCAGGGCCACTCCTTCACAAAACTCCCCTTGGATAACAATAATGGTGACAATAATGGTAACAGACAATAATGACAATTTACTGAGAGCTTACTATATGCCAGGCAGGATGCAGAAGTTGTTTTGGTTTATTTGTATGTTTTTTTAAAAAAATTAATTTATGGGGCTGGAGAGATGGGTCAGCGGTTAAGAGCACTGACTGGGTTTGATTCCCAGCATATACATGGCGGCTATGAACCGTCCTTAACTCCAGTTCCAGGGGAATCCAAAGCCCTCTTCTGACCTCCATGGCATTGCATGACATGGGTGCACTCACATACATGCTGGCAATACACTCATACACATAAAATAAAAGTAATAAAAATTTTTTTTTGTCTTTTTTGAAGACAGGGTCTCCCTGTAGCCCCAGCTGTCCTGGAACTCACTATGTAGACCAGGCTGGCCTCAAACTCACAAAGATCCCCCTGCCTCTGACTCCCAAGTGCTGGGATTAAAGGTGTACGCCACAACGCCTGGCATAAAACTATATTTTTAAAAAATTATCTATTAGTATTATTTTTTGGTTTTGGTTTTGGTCTTTTTTTTAATTTATTATTTTTAATTTATGTGTATGAGTCTATGGTCTGCATGTAGGTAAGTGCACCCGTGTCGGGCATTGGAGTTTTAGACAGTTGTTAGCTGCCATGTGGGTGCTGGGATTTGAACCCAGGTCTTCTGCAAGAACAACCAGTGTTCTTAACCGCTGAGCCATCTCTCCAGCCCGGTTTTGGTCTTTTTGAGACAGAGTCTCCATGTAGCCCCAGCTGGCCTGGAACTCACTATGTAGACCAGGCTGGCCTGGAATTCACAGAGATCTACCAGCCTCTACTTCTCAAGTGCTGAGATTAAAGGCCTGCATGTGCCACCACACTGGGTTAGCTCTTACTTTTTGTGTAGGTGCCCATGTCATGGCATGTGTGTGGAGGCCAGAGGACAACTTTTGGGAGTCAGCTCTCATCTTCCAACATGTATGTCCTGGGAATTGAACATATGTTGTCAAGCTTAGAATCAAGACTCTTTACCCGATGAGCCACCATGCCTTTAATCCCAGCACTTGGGAGACAGAGGCAGGTGGATTTCTGTGAGCTCAAGGCCAGTCTGGTCTACATAGCTAGTTTCAGGCCAGCTCGAGCTACAGGGGGACCCTGTCTCAAAAGGATCAAAATCTTACTCTGTAACCCAGGCTGGCCTCAAACTTGTGACTGATCCTCCTGCCTCAGTCTCTTAAGTGCTGGAACTACAAGTATAAGTCACACACCCGGCTTTTTAGCTCTCACTTTTCAAGGCTCCCTGGATGACAGACATAACCCTAAGTCTCAGTCCTTGAACTGAAAGAGGCTTTGCACATCTGGGACTCTGGGAAGCCTGGCTGTAGTCTAAATGCTAGTTTATATGTGGCTACCAAGGTGCAGAAAAGGAAAGGGGCCTGTTGGAGGTTACAAAGCTAGTTTGGGCACAGCTAAATCTCCTCTTTCCTTCTGAGGACATTCTAGCTGACTGAGCCCTCTACTGTCCCCTCTAGCCTCAGGCTATGGCCAGACTTCTTTCCACCCCTCCAGCCGGGTTGTTAACGGTGAGGATGCTGTTCCCTACAGCTGGCCCTGGCAGGTAAGAACGATTCCCACTGTGGGCTTTGGGCAACTGCATGGCAGCTTTGACCCCGCTGCTGCTTCCTCTCCAGTGTCTACTTTGGCTTCAAAAGGCCCTCAAACTCTTGAGCAGAGGCATTTCCTATAGCTTTGGACTGCTCAGTCTATAGTCCTGGCTAAGACATCTGCCCTTTGAAAGTGGAATCTGGGGAAAAGAGTGATGCTCATGGAGTTGGAATTTCAGGGGCTGTGCTTAAGGAGAAGGTTCTGTTTCTAGACTCCTTGAATTCTATAAAGGGGCCAAGGTTCAAGGGCTGTAAAAGAGTTAGGAACTTTATAGAGGCAGCGGGGAGCACACAGAGTGCTAGACACTGTCCAACAGTAGTCACCAGCCACACATGGCTATTTAATATAAATTACAGCAGACGTGGTGGTGGCATACACCTGTGATTCCAGGACTTGGGAAATGGAGACAGAAGGATCAGAAGTTCAAGGCCAGCCGTGGCTACATATCAAGTTTGAGGCCAGCCAGAGCTACAATGAGACCGTGTCTCAAAAAGCAAACCAAAAGATGAATTAGACAGTATTAATAATTCAATCTCTCAGTGGCCCCTCATTTCCAGTGCTTAACAGACACAGGAGGCTGCGGCGACTATGCTATAAAGTATAGAGAACTTCTCTATTACTATAGATGGTGTGAATGGAGAGGGTCACAGCTTATTCTGTGAAGGACCAGAGCATAAATCCTATAGGCTTTGCTGGCCATATGCTGGTAATTGCGGTAACTTAATGGGGCCATTGTAACATAAAAGCAGCACAGAAAACACACAAGTGACAAGTGTGAGGAGGAGCCAGAATCTTTATATATAAATCGGACTCAAGCAGATTGGGCCTGTGGATCATAATTGGGCCAATCTTTGGATAAGGAGTTTTTTTTTTTTTTTTTTTTTTCTACCAATTGTGGTGATTACTTTTTGTTTTTCTTTCCTGTTCCATTTATATAGACCAGGCTGACCTCAAATTCACAGAGATCCACCTGCCTCTGCCTCCCAAGTGCTGGAATTAAAGTTAAGGAGATTTTTTTTAAAGACAAGGTCTCATAAAGACAAGGTCAAGGTCAGCCTAACCTGACCTCAAACTTGATATATAGCAGAGGATGATCTTGAATTCCTAATCCTCTTGTCTCCACCTCGTGAGTGCTGGGATTATAGGTGTACACACCATTTATACAGTGCTGGGGTGGAACCAGGACTTCATGTGTGCTACGTAAGCTCCCTGCTAAACCTCATTCCTAGCCTCTCTCTCTCTCTCTCTCTCTCTCTCTCTCTCTCTGTAAAGATAGGGTCTCCTGTAACCTTAGCTGGCCTCCAACTACTGATCCTTCTGCCTCTACCTCCCCAGCGCTGGGATCACAGGTATACACCACCATGCCCGATTATAAAGGGAGCTTTTGAAAGAACATGTAGGGAAGAGAAGGAGGTAGGGGACTCAAGGTGAATCATGTTCCAGGGGACCCAAGAAGCCTTGAAAGAGCTAAGATTCAGGAGAATGCAAGTCTTGATAGAACAGAGGGGGATGCCTTAAGGGGCAGAGAATATTGGGGTCCCCGGGGAGGTCATAAAGTCTGAAGTGGCGAGGCTTTGGCAAACATTTTGATCCCCATGGAAAAGCGATAAGACCTTCATGAGGTTTTGTACAGCTGGTGCACTGTGTATTTCAGAGGGTGTCACTTTTTTCTGTGTGAATAGTACCTTTGAGGGTGGTACAGTGCACAGCCTACAAAGTCATTGCTGGCAACCCATGGTGCTGTGCCCAGCCCTCTCAGGCTCTCTCCTCTTTGGATACCAGATCTCCCTTCAGTATGAGAAGGATGGGAAGTTCAGCCATACCTGTGGTGGCACCCTCATCACCCCTGACTGGGTTTTGACTGCAGGCCACTGCATCTCGTGAGTTCTTCCTCCTGCCCGTGTCCCTGTTCCAATCACTGTCCCTGCATGAGACCCAGGCAGCTTCGACAGTAGGGGAAGGGGGAGGTTGGCTATAGGCCCATACTGACCTTGTCTCCCCTGTAGGAGCTCCCGCACCTACCAGGTGGTGCTGGGTGAGTATGATCGTGGTGTGTATGAGGGCCCTGAGCAGGTGATCCCCATCAATCCCGGAGACCTCTTTGTCCACCCCAAGTGGAACTCCAACTGTGTGAGCTGTGGGTAAGTGAAATCTCAGACCTGGGGGGGCTCCCCCCAAGACCCCAAGTCAACCTGAGATCCTGCTCCTAGAAACAGTGGCTGTACAGCTACCAGGCCCAGAATGCACATCAGCATGTTTTGTGGGGTTCTTTTGAGACAGGGCCTCACTATGAAGCCCAAGTTATTTAAGAACTTACTACAGAGCCCAGACTGTCCTCCAACCCTCTAGCCTTAGGATCCTGAGTTCTGGGATTTCAAACATGAGCCACCATGCCTGACTCAGCAGGCCTTTAAGGGTTTTTGATGATAAACTTCTCTCCCCACAGAGGAGACAACATGGCTCAAGAGGAGCAGGAACCCCCAAACCCAGGGGGTCTCCTTCCCATAGTCAGCATTCTGGATTCCATGGGCATCATGGGTATCAAGAGAAGTTGCTGGGCTAAGTCAGGCTCTGGCACTAACTCTCTGGGTATCCCAGGCCACTCACTACCTTTCTCTATGTGGTATTGTTGCTGGCTGTCAAGGGTGACCATGAGGCAGAGTTCTTCCCAGGTGGTTTATAAAGGTCAAAGAGATCATCTTTGACCCTCTTGTGGGTACAGACTTGCATGTCTGGGGGGTACACCTTTTTCCCAAGAGTCACAGGAGGACAACGAATTGCTGCAGAATAAGAGTGAGGGGCAGGCCAGCATGGTGGCACATACCTTTAATCCCAGCACTTGGGAGGCAGAGGCTGGTGGATCTCTGTAAGTTTGAGGCCAGCCTGTTTTACATAGAGAGTTCAGAGTTCTGGGCCAGCAAGGACTATATTGTGAGACCCTGTCTCA